ACACTGTAGCAGGCACTACTATTTATGTTTTATGTATGTTAACTCAATCCTTACAACCATATATCAAGTAGCTACCAGTGTGTCCCTGTTTTACAGATGGGGAGCCTGAGGCTCAGAGGTGCTACAACCTGCTCAAGATCACATAGCTAGTTAGTGACCGGAGTCCAGGGGAAAAGAAAGCAACATTTCTCTTTTGGCTTTTCTGCCAATCCTTTTTTTTTTTTTTTTAGACTGGTCTTGCTCTGTCACCCATGCCAGAGAACAGTACCGTGATCTTGGCTCACTGAAGCCTCAACTTACCAGGGCTCAAGCAATCCTCCCATCTCAGCCTCCCAAGCAGCTGGGACTACAGGTATGTGCCACCACACCCGGTTAATTTTGTTTATTTTTTGTAGAGACCAGGTCTCACTATGTTTCTCAGGAGGGGTCTCGAACTCCTATGCTCAAGCAATTCTCCTACCTCAGTCTCCCAGAGTGCTAGGATTACAGGTGTGAGCCACAGCGCCCAGCCCCTTTCTGCTAATCCTTGCCCCAGAGATAACAGGTCATAAATGTGGTTTATATCCTTCTGACACTGGATTTTTCTCAGCTTTTTTTCTGGACTCAGAGCAGGGGCACCGCCTCAACTTGGCCTGCTGCACTCAGCCCCTTACAGGATGGAGCATGTGAGTGAGTGCAAGATCCATGCGGAGCCCATAGCCACACCAGGTGTATTGCCTCAAGGGGAACGTGGCGGTGCCCAGGCAAGGATGCCCATGACCCTGAAGCCCCCCAGAGTGGGTGTTAGTGTGCTAATTAGCTCTTTTAGTTCTGCTGTCCACAGCCTTATTGGATGGTCAGTGTGTTAGCAGCTCAGTTGGCCCTGGCCCTGTCATGTCGGGTAGCTTCCCTGCTAGAAGGGCAGAGGGCCAGTGTAACAGGCTTTCTGGGTACCTGCACTTGATGGGTCCCAAGCTTTTGTCCAGCATACAACAAGAGTGAGTTATGCAGACGGTTGACGGGTGATGAGAGTAGAGAACTTTACTGAGCGAAGGAACAGCTCACAGCGGAGGGCACGCAGGGGTGGGGGTGGTTTCTCTCTCCTTGTGGCTCGGTCTGGGGCTTTGTGTGGACTTAGCATGGGGACTACAAGCTGATTGTTTTGTGAGTAAGCAAAAATGGTTAAAGCGAAGGTACCACTCAAAGGTGGGCATGACAGTGTCAAAAACCAATTAGGAAAGGGCCGGTAAACGTAAAACAGGTGAAGGGCAAGGATCAATCAGAGGAAAGTGTACCAAACGGAAAGATAAGGTCTCGATCCAGTCCATGGATTTGACTTGCAACTTGGCTTTCAGGCTTCAAAGCATCTGTAGCCTGGAGTTGGAGTGTCACCGGGGACCTGTCTGCCTAGAAGTTTGTCTGCCTCCTGCCACTATCGCTTCCAAATCTTGTTTTTATGCATTTGCGGCATAAACAGGTAGAAATACATAATTTTGCTCTACAAGGGGGCCATGTTGTTCTGCAAGTAGCATTTTCTACTTAACCCCATGGCTCTGTTTCTCTTCCCTCTTTCTTATTAATTTAATAAGAAAAATCAAATCAATTAATTTAATTAATTAATTAGAGATGTTAATTTGATTAATTTAAGAGACTGGGTCTCATTCTGTTACCCACACTGGAGTGCAGTGCCATGATATCGGCTCACTGCAGCCTAGAGCTCCTGGGCTCAAGCGATCCTCCTGCCTTAGCTTCCCAGTAGCCTGAACTACGGGCAAGTGCCACCACACCCAGCTAATTGTTTCAGTATTTTTTCTGTGGCGATGGGATTTTGCCATGTTGCCCAAGCTGGTCTTGAACTCCTGATCTCAGGCAATCCGCCCACCTCATTGTCCCAAAGTGTTGGGATTACAGCCTGAGCCACCATGCCTGACTTCCCTTTTTCCTCTTTTTTTTTTTTTTTTTTAATAGAGACGAGGTCTTGCTATGTTGCGCAGGCTGGTCTCAAACTCCTGGCCTCAGTTGACCCTCCTATTTCCACCCTTCAAAGGGCTGGGATTACGCATATGAGCCACTGTGCCTAGTTAAGATTTCTTTCTATGTAGGTACATATAGAGTTACCAGTTATTTATAACAGCTGCACAGTATTCCTTAGTATGTATATTATGAAAATACACCTAAGGAGGCTGGGCACAGTGGCTCATGCCTATAATCCCAGCACTTTGCGAAGTAGAGGCGGGTGGATTATTTGAGGTCAGGAGTTCAATATCAGCCTGGTCAACATGGTAAATCCCTGTCTCTACTAAAAATACTAGCCGGGTGTGTGGCAGCACCTGTAGTCCCAGCTACTCAGGAGGCTGAGGCACGAGAATCACTTGAACCTGGGAGGCAGAGATTGCAGTGAGCCGAGATCGCACCACTACACTTTAGCCTGGGCAACAGATCGAGACTCTTGTCCTCCTCCCAAAAAAATTGGCCAGGCGCAGTGGCTCACGCCTGTAATCCCAGTATTTTGGGAGGCCAAGGTGGATGGATCACAAGGTCAGGAGTTCCAGACTAGCCTGGCCAACATAGTGAAACTCCGTCTCTACTAAAAATACAAAAATTAGCCAGGCATGGTGCAGGAGAATCGCTTGAACCTGGGAGGTGGAGGTTGTGGTGAGCTGAGATCGCATCACTGTACTCCAGCCTGGGCAACAGAGCCAGACTCCGTCTCAAAAAAAAAAAAAAAAAGCACCATTATGTAGGCATGATTGATAAATCACTGGTGATTAACTTCACTTTGAGCCCCTCCCTGGAGGTTGGGGGTGGGGCTGAAACTTCTAACCCTCTGACCAAATGGTTGGATCCTCTGGCAGCCAGCCCCCAACCTGTGGTTATCTTGGAACTTATTAACAAAAACTCAAGTGTGTTTGAAAAGGGATTGTTATAAATAATAATCTTTTTATCTTTCACCTTCTGGCACAGGAGGCAGAGGCTGCAGTGAGCAGAGATCACACCACTGCACTCCAGCCTGGGCCACAGAGCGAGACTCCGTCTCAAAAAAAAAAGAAAATACACCCAAGGGCCATAGGGGACCAGGCTCCATCCTCCATCCTCTGTGCTTCATGTCTGTGTCTCATTTCCACCTTTCCACCTCACAGTCTGTGCTCCTAAACATTTTTCTCTCTTTTTTTTTTGAGACAGGCTTTCTATACCCAGGCTGGAGTATAGTACAGTGGTCGGATTATAGATCACTGCAGTCTTGAATTCCCAAGCTCAAATGTCCCAAGTAGCTGAGACCGCAGGTGTGTGACCACCACGCCCCACTAATTTTTTAATTTTTTGTAGAGATGAAGTCTCCCTATGAGGCTAGTCTTTTTTTTTTTTTTTTTGAGACAGAGTTTCGCTCTTGTTACCCAGGCTGGAGTGCAATGGCGCGATCTCAGCTCACCGCAACCTCCTCCTCCTGAGTTCAGACAATTCTCCTGCCTCAGCCTCCTGAGTAGCTGGGAATACAGGCACGCGCCACCATGCCCAGCTAATTTTTTATATCTTTAGTAGAGACGGGGTTTCACCTTGTTGACCAGGATGGTCTCGATCTCTTGACCTCGTGATCCACCCGCCTCGGCCTCCCAAAGTGCTGGGATTACAGGCGTGAGCCACCGCGCCCGGCGAGGCTAGTCTTGAACTCCTGGGCTCAAGCTATTCTCCCTCCTCAGCCTCCCGATGTGTGCTGGGATTACAGGCATGAGCCATTGTTGCTGGCCCGCTCTTTTTTTTTTAATTAAAAATTTCAACCTCCAGAGTCTCACCTTCTTCTCTTTTAAATAAGAAGTATAATCTCAACTTTGTAAGAAACTGTGAGAATTACAGGGAATGTTTTTAAGGTGCCTGGCATTCAGAAAGCAGTGCTTAATAGATGATGCCCAGTAAATAGTTCTGATTTAATTATGAGATATTAAAGGGGAACACTCCTGGCTCCTCACTCTGAGAGGTTGGTCACATGTTATTCATGGAAGAATACATTCCCAGAGGCCACAAACATGAGGAAAGGGCCAAGAGAATCACAGAGACACTAGGTATAACACCATTAAGCCAGCAAAATAACAGGAGCAGCTCCTGGGCTGGAGTGCGGAGGTGAAATCATGGCTCACTGCAGCTTTGACCACCTAGGGTAGGGTGATCCTCCTACCTCAGACTCCCAAGTGGCTGGGACTACCAGCATGTGCCCCTAAGCCCAGCTAATTGTTTTTTTGTGGGCTTTTTCTTTGAAATGGAGTCTTGCTCTGTTGCTCAGGCTGGGGCGCAGTGGCATGATCTCAGCTCACTGCAACCTCCGCTTCTCGGGTTTAAGCAATTCTCCATCTCAGCCTCCCAATTAGCTGGGATTACAGGCACGTGCCACCACACCCGGCTTTTTTGTATTTTTAGGAGAGACAGGGTTTCACCATGTTGGCCAGGCTGATCTTGAACTCCTGACCTCATGCTCCACCCGCTTCAGCCTCCTAAAGTGCTGGGATTACAGGCATGAACCACTGAGCCCTGCTTTTGTGGGGTTTTTTTTCTGAGACAGGGTCTCACTCTGCCTCCCAGGCTGGAGTGCAGTGGGGCCATCATGGGTCACTGCAGCCTCAACCTCCCAGGCCAAGCAATTCTTATACCTCCTCTGGAGTACCTGGCACTACAGGCACATGCCACCACACCTGGCTAATGTTTTACTTTTTTTGTAGAGAGAGGGGCACTCGCTCTGTCACAAGAGCAGAGGTTTTGATGTGAAGAGGAAAAATGTGTCAAGTGGGGTTGATTTGATTGTAAGAAACAGAATAATCCAGCCCCTCAGAGATCCTGGTCTGTGAAGTGCCTGTTCAAATCCTCTGCCCAGTATTTCTTCCTTTCTTCTTGGAATCTGTTTTTTTTTTTTTTTTTTTCTCACTGACTTATAGGGATCCTGGTGTGAAGAAGGAAACGGAAAGGAAGTGGAGTCATCCTCCCTGCACGAGCTCACAGACCTCTTTTTCCTGGCAGCTTTGTGACCTCATTTCCTCCCCTCTGCCCTCAGCTCACTTCCTGAGGCAGGAGAATCACTTGAAACTGGGAGGTAGAGGTTGCAGTGAGCCAAGATTGTGCTATTGCACTCTAGCCTGGGCAACAAGAGTAAAACTCCGTCTCAAAAAAAAGAAAAGAAAAAGCAACTAGCTGAATTAATGTAAAATAGTTTAATTGAACAAAGAATGGGCAGCATCCCAAGCCAGTGTAAGCTCAGAGACTCCGAGGCAGCTGTCGCTGGAAAGGGGTCCTGATCTAGACTCCAAGAGAGGGTTCTTTGATCTCACACAAGGAAGAATTCAGGGTGAGTCCATGAAGGAAAACAAATATATTAAGAAAGTAAAGGAATAAGAGTGGCTTCTCTATAGGCAGAGCAGCAGCATGGGCTGCTCAACTGATTATATTTATAATTATTTCTTGATCATATGCTAAACGAAGGGTAGATTATTCATGAGTTTCCTTGGAAGTGAGGGCTCCTCCCCTTAGAGGGTAACTTCCAGATGTTGCCATGGCGTCTGTAAACTGTCATGGCACTGGCAGGAGTGTTTCTTAGCATGCTAATGCATTATAATTAGCATATGAGTGGTGAGGAGGACCTGAGCTCACTTTCACCATCACCTTGGTTTTGGCTGGCCTCTTTACCGCGTCCTGTTTTATCAGCAGGGTCTTTGTGGCCTGTATCTTGTGCCGACCTCCTGTCTCTTCCTGTGACTTAGAATACCTAACCTCCTGGGAACGCAGCCCAGAAGGGTCTCAGTCTTATTTTACCCAAGCCCTATTCAAGATGGAGTTGCTCTGGTTCAACCACGTGATGGGAGAAAATTTAGGAACAGAAAAAGGAAAGTGATGTACAGAAACAACCAGATTGGTTATAGCTTGGCGTTTGCCTTGTTTGAACATGATTTGAATAGCTGGCCACATCTAATTGGCCAAAACTTGGTGACTGGCACAAGAGTAGGCTACAGTCTGTTTACAAGTCCATTTAGGTTACAGTTCACAATGTACAGAGAAACCTTTAGGCTGAACTTCAAAATATGTAAGGAGGCAGGTTTAGGCTAAACTTCACTTAAAAGTTGGTACTGACAGGAGGCTGAGGCAGGAGAACTGCCTGAACCCAGGAGGCGGAGGTTGCGGTGAGCCGAGATCGCGCCATTGCACTCCAGCCTGGGTAACAAGAGCGAAACTCCGTCTCAAAAAAAAAAAAAAAAAAAAGTTAGTACTGAGTAAATGTTTGTTATATGAGTGAACAAATTAATGACTAGTAATGATGGGGATGAGCAGGAAGAAGACCCAGATGTGGAGCTGTCATCTAAACTTGAGGCAGCTGTGTGTGGGAAGCAGCTGACCCCAATGGGTCCCTGGCTCCTTGCCCGAGTGAGATTATGAACTTCAGAAAAGCCTTTCTCCACGCTCCTCCACCTGGCTCCCCTCATCTTCCCAGCTGGTCATGGTCCCCAGGGGTTCATTTGCTTCGAACATCTCTGCAAAGCTCTGAAAGTATTCTCTGACATTATCTCATTTTTTGCAAGTATGAGGCATGGACAAGCACCTTATAGAAAACACAGAACACTCATGCACACGTACACACTCAATCTAACACACACGCTTGGCCATATCTCATATTCTTGTAACTCTTACCAGCTAATTTACCCACACACAGTCCTAATTAGGCACACTTGTAGACACATGTGCTTACACTTGCCCTCAAGATGGTCTCATTCCTCTGTCCCACACACTCACAAACATCTGTAGTATTACAGGAAAGGGGATCTGATGCAGACCCCAAAAGGGGGTTCTTGAATCTCGTGCAAGAAAGAATTCAGGGCAAGTCTGTAAAGTGAAAGCAAGTTTATTAGGACAGTAAAGAATAAAAGAATGGCTACTCCATAGACAGCAGCTCCGAGGGCTGCTGGTTACCCATTTTCATAGTTATTCCTTGATTATATGCTAAACAATGGGTGGATTATTCATTTCTCTCCTTTTAGACCATATAGGGTAACTTCCTGACATTGTAAAGGCATTTGTAAATAATGGTGGCTCTGGCGGGAATGTACCAGTGAAGATGACCAGAGGTCACTCTTGTGGCCATCTTGGTTTTAGTGGGTTTTGGCCGGCTTCCTTACTGCAATCTGTTTTATCACCAAGGTCTTTGTAACACATATTTTGTGCCAATCTCCTATCTCATCCTGTGACTTAGAATGCCTTAAACAGGCCAGGCCCAGTGGCTCATGCCTGTAATCCCAGCACTTTGGGAGGCTGAAGCGGATGGATCACCTGAGGTCAGGGGTTCGAGACCAGGTTGGCCAACATGATGAGACTTTGTCTTTACTAAATATACAAAAAGTTAGTCAGGCATGGTGGTGCATGCCTGTAATCCCAGCTACTTGGGAGGCTGAAGGAAGAGAATCACTTGAACCTGGGAGGAGGAGGTTGTAGAGAGCTAAGATTATGCTGATGCACTCCAACCTAGGCAACAAGATCCAAACTCCATCTCAAAAAAAAAAAAAAAAAGCCTTAAACCGTCTGGGAATGCAGCCCAGTATGTCTCAGCCTCATTTTACCCATCTCCTCTAGTTCACACGTCTCTGACAATAGCACATGTGCCCTCATGTATGCAAACCCCTGCCCAAGTTTTCACCTATACCCTCACTCACAGACACACACACACACACACACACACACACACTCATTCCCTCAAGCTCAGCTCCTGTGGCATGTGCACATGGACCCATTTGAACACACTTCTTTGAACACCCCTCTAGGTTTCATCACACACATACAAACAGGCAGTGGCCTGGGGCAGTGAACCAGACCGGTCAGCACTTAGTATGATGACCTGTTTCAACAACAGTGATACCCACTGAACACTGGTCATGGGCTGGATATCCTGAACTTTGAGCCTTTATCTCACGCAATTCTCACAACCACTGCCCCCTGAAAACAGTGCTACCAGTCTCATTTTATAGATGGGGAAACAGACTTATAGGCATTAAATGGTAGAGTTAGGAGTTTTTTTTTTTTTTTTTTTTTTTTTTGAGATGAAGTCTTGCTCTTGTGGCCCATGCTGGAGTGCAATGGTGCGATCTCAGCTCACTGCAACCTCTGCCTCCTGGGTTCAAACCTTTCTCCTGCCTCAGCCTCTCAAGTAGATGGGATTATAGGCGCCTGCCACCATGTCCGGCTAATTTTTTGTGCTTTTAGTAGAGACAGGGTTTCACCATGTTGGCCAGACTGGTCTTGAATTCCTGACCTCATGATCCACCTGCCTCGGCCTCCAAAAATGCTGGGATTACAGGCGTGAGCTACCGCGCCCGGCCAAAGCTAGGATTCTAATCCAAGCATCTGACTCCAGAGCTCACCCCTTATCTGGTGCAGCAAAGTATATTTTTCAAAAGTAGTCACAACGTCTCCCATCCCGCATGTTCTTTGTGAAAACAAAATCTTGGGACCCCAAACTCACTAAGCCACAGGGAAAACACAAGCTGAGAACTGGGTCATGCAAACCCTTGTCTCATCTCCCATTTGGTTCCTAAATCAGAAAGCAACAAAGATAAAAGCTTATCCTCTCTCAATTTTCCCACAAGAAAATTCCTCGTGGGCTCCACAATCTTTAACCTAAAACAATTCTGTTGAATTTCACCGTGGCAATGTAAATTGATTGCTTATATTTATGGGTGCTGGACAAAGGAGAGACAGAACTCAAAGTCATCCCTCTGCTCACCTGAGGCAAATGCATAACTGATTGCCTTGGCTGCCCTATTGTTTACATTATCTTACATAAATATGCAGATACACTGAGCCAGACAAAGGCCTAAGTGACTATTTCTCTACCTACCTCTCACACACACGTAAATTGTATATTCAGTGAAAGGCTGATCAAAGACTCAAAAGGATGTAACCATTTGTCTCTTATCTAGCCATACCTTTTAAACATTTTTTCCTCTCCCCCAATATCCACCCTTTCCCTTTTAAATATTGAAGGCCTCAAAATAATCTTTGGAGAAAGGCATAAACCTGCCTCCTTGGTATACGTCCTTAACTTTGGCAAAGAAACCTCCTAAAATGATTGAGACTTGGTGGCTTGGTCATTTTCATTGACTTGCATCATTTTTTTTGGAGATGGAGTCTCACTCTGTCACCCAGGCTGGAGTGCAGTGGCACAATCTCAACTGACTGCAACATCCAACTCCTGGGTTCAAGCGATTCTTCTCCTGCCTCAGCCTCCCAAGTAGGTGGGATTACAGGCATGCACCACCACACCCAGACAATTTTTGTATTTGTAGTAGAGACGGGGTTTCACCATGTTGGCCAGGCTGTTCTCGAACTCCTGACCTTAGGTGATCTGCTCACCTTGACCTCTCAAAGTGCTGGGATTACAGGTGTGAGCCACTGTGTCTGGTCTTTTTTTTTTTTGAAGTGGGTGGATCATGAGGTCAGAAATCAAGACCATCCAGGCTACATCCAGGCTAACTTGGTGAAACCCCACCTCTACTAAAAATACAAAAATTAGCCGGGCACGGTGGCACACACCTGTAGTCCCAGCTACTCTTGAGGCTGAGGCAGGAGAATTGCTTGAACTCAGGATATGGAGGTTGCAGTGAGCCAAGATTGAACCACTGCACTCCAGCCTGGGTGACAGAGCAGACTCCGTCCCCCCGCCACCAAAGAAAAAAAGAACATTGCCACTCCCCTATCAAGAGGTAGTTGCTATACTTTGGATGTTAGTCTTCTCAAACTTTATGTTGGAATTTGATCTCAAATGTTAGAGGTGGGGCCTAATGGGAGGTATTTGGGTCATGGGGTGGATCTCTCATGAACGGCATGTTAATGAGGAAGTTCTAGCTCTATTAATTTCCACAAGAGCTGATTGTTAAAAAGAGCCTGGCACCTTACCCCAACTCTTGCTTCCATTCTCTCACCATGTGATGTCTGCACACGATGGCTCCGTTTTACCTTGTGTCATGAGCGAAGCAGCCTGAAGCCCTCACCAGAAACAGATGCTGGCGCCATGCTTCTTGTACAGTCTGCAGAATCATGAGCCAAATAAACTGATACAGCAGGTAGGAAGAAATTATTTAGGCAGACAGTGAGGGCAACAGAATCCTCACCAGAGCTGCCCTTTTAACAAAAAGTAGTCCAAGAAATTGTTTCTAACAAAGAGAAGCCTGAAAAATTGAGCTGCAAACACGGATAAGCTGGAAGCTTGCACAGCAGCGGGGTGGGGGGAGTTGCCGGCAATAGCAATGGCCTGGGGGCCAGGCATATCCAACATGGAGGCTCCATCTTTCCTTTTTTTGTTACCGCATGTACAGTAGAGGAATAGGCAACATGGGTGCAGGCCAGGCAGAGAACCCACCTGCACAGTAAGAAATTAAGGGTAGGGGCTACCAGAAATTCATGCCCTATGCAAACGGCACACCGGGTCCAACCAATCTTTCACACCCTATGTAAATCAGACACTGCCTCCTCACCAGGCATCTATAAACCCCCCTGCATTTCACCACGGATCTGGCAACCCATTTCTCTGACCCCTCTCTCCAGCAGAGAGCTATTCTCTTTCTTTCCCCTATTAAACTTTTACTATTTTTTTTTTGAGATGGAGTTTCGCTCTTGTTACCCAGGCTGGAGTGCAATGGCGCGATCTCGGCTCACTGCAACCTCCGCCTCCTGGGTTCAGGCAATTCTCCTGCCTCAGCCTCCTGAGTAGCTGGGATTACAGGCACGTGCCACCGTGCCCAGCTAATTTTTTGTATTTTTAGTAGAGATGGGGTTTCACCATGTTGACCAGGATGGTCTCGATCTCTTGACCTCATGATCCACCCACCTCAGCCTCCCAAAGTGCTGGGATTACAGGCATGAGCCACTGCGCCCGGCCTTAAACTTTTGCTCTTAACCTCACTCTTTGTGTCTGTGTCGTCGATTTCCTTGGTGTGAGACAACAAACCTCAGGTATCACCCTCCAGACAACAAGACTCCTTCAAAACCCCTTTTTTGACAAGTTACCAAGCCTCAGGTATTTCTTTATAGCAACATAAGGGAATAGTGTATGGCCCCTTCTCTTGAACTTGGGTGGATCTTTGTGACTACCTCAACTAAATATGATGAAAGTGATGGCACATTTCTTCAAAGTCTAGGTCATACTTGGTGATACAACTTGTGCCTGGCTCTCTCTCTTAGGATGCTTACCCTAGGAATCCAGCTACCATGCTGTGTGGAAGCCCAGGCCACATGGAGAGGCCACATATCATATCCGGGCTGGAAGCCCCAGCTGAGGTCCCAGGTAGCCAGCATCAGCTGGCTGTCAGGAAATCGTCAAGCTGACTCCAGCCCAGCAACCACCTGACTGCAACCATATGCAACCTTGAGCAAGATCTGCCTAGCTGAGCCCAATCAATGCTCCCTCCCCATGAAACAAAAGACATGAATAATAAATGGTTGTTTTATGCCAATAAATATGGGTGGTTTACCATGCAGCATTGAATCACTGATGTCAGGGTAGAGAATTACCTACAGTCGGCATCGGCCCACCATGGGGAGGTGATGCCAGTCTTTGTTCCTTTTTGGACCCTCTGCTTCTATTCCCAAGATCCAGGATCTTAGAGAACAACCCCCCATCATCGGATCCTTCATAGCAACTGAACAATGGCACAGCCATCTCCTTATATGGGCATGAACTCTTCAGGCCCCAGGCTCCCATCCACAGTTGACTCTTACCAAGTATCAGCTCGGCTGGAGAGACTCCCACCCAGGCGGCGCTGAAGGAACTGAGAGGCAGACACCCAGATAGAACAGCAAAGTGGGTCTACGGAGGGGTGGTGGTGGGGGTAGCAGCATTCTGAACTGAGAGCCTCAGGAGCTGACAGCATTCCAGGCTGAAGGCCCCCAGCAGAGTCTGATCCACGTATTTATTCTCTCTGAACAGGTGAGTCTTATTAACAAACAGGTGTTCTGTGTTTTCTCATAACACAAAATATGCCAAGGAGGCAGCTGGTGCCTGTTTACCACTGATCACAAACAAACTCAAAAGTATTCTCCACGAGGGAGCCTCAGGGGCAGGGGCAGGTATCTTAAAGAGTTGTTGTAACTGGTGTATGATATTTATACATTGCCTTGCCACTTTGGAATGCCCCAAGTAGTTTTCTACTTGGGGGGAGGGCGGCGGCAGCTAGGTTTTCTTTATTGTTCTTCCTAGCAAACAATATATTCTATCACACACTCAGCATTCATCAATATTCATAAACTGAACATTTCTCAACAGACTCTTTGGTCCTTTAGGCAGGTGCTCATCTCTCAGTTTCCTCTTCTGTAAAATGCAGCATCTGATGATCCCAGCCCTTCCCACTCACACACAGGCTATGAGGAGCCATCCTCGAAGCTAACATTTAATGTTATTTTCAATGTTTGCATTTTAAGATCCAGGTTGGCAACTAGAACCACACAATGTCCTGAAAAGACCTTTCAGGACTATTGTAAGCAGCATTCTATGTTTTAGAAAGGGAAACTGAAATATTAATTGTGAGCACAGTCCTGGTACCGAGTAATCACTTATGAATATGGGGGAGTGTGAGAAGGGAGAAAACAGGCAGTGCTGGTGGAGGAGCCACTCTTTTCTCTTGGGAAACCTCACCCCTTGCCCTCCTCCTTCTCTCTGTTCCTACAGTTCCCTGTCCCTCTCTCCCCTTCCCCTTCTGGGTGGCCCCCTGCCCAGGCCTGGAATGGACACCTCGTGTGAACTCCTGAACTGTGGATGCCAGGCCTGGCTGATTTGCCTCCCTAAAAGCTCACTCCACCACCCTCCCAAGAGCTGTTTCCGTAGGACACTTCCTCCACCTGCTTACAATCAAAGGTATTTGAGAAGAAACCCATGGCTCTCTAGAATGACTCATTTCCTGGGAGGTTTTGGAGCCCTGGGGTACCAGTTAGCATGATCACCTGAGCCACTCTTGCTGTTGCCCCCAGCACCTCAGCCTTCTCCATATTCTCCATGTTTAAGGCAGGACAAGGGAAACGGAGTCACCAGAGTCACCAGGATCGGGCTTCCTATTTCCTCCATCTTCTCCTCCCCTTTCCATCTGTATTAGACTCCTAGAGCTGCCATCACGAAGTATCATACATTTGGCTTACAACAACAGAAATGTATTCTCTCACAGTTCTGGGAGCCAGAAGTTCAAAACCAAGGCATTGGCAGGGTGGGTCCCTTCTGGAGGCTCTGAGGAGAGTCTGTTCCCGGCTTCTCTCCTAGTTGCTGGTGACCGCTGGCAATCCCAGCTTTTCCGTGACTTGTAGACGTGTCACTCCAATCTGCATCTGTCTTCGCTGTGTGGTCTCTATGTCTGTCTTCTTCCTTTCTTTGTCTCGTAAGGACATTTGACACTGGATTTAGGGGCCACCCTAATCCAGAACCATCTCAACTCAAGATCCTTAACTTAATTACGTCTTATTTTGGAAGATGCTTCTTCAAAATAAGATCACCAGAACACCACCTTTGCCCATATATCTGGAATAAGGTAGAAACTCCTCCTAGTTCCTGAAAATTGGCAGTCGACATTGTTAGTAGTTCCTTGAGTAGCCCCTTCCTGTTGATCCTACCCCTGGTTTTGGCTCCATTAGGAAGACAGCAGGGTATGTGAGGTGGCCTCACTGACATCAGAAAGAGAAAAGACAAAAAGAGGAAGATGGGTAAAGCACGGAGTGCAGGGGAAAGTGACTCAGTTGGTACTATGCACATGAGAACCAAGGTTATTCAGTGACAAGCAGTGCTCACTGGGATGATTCTGGGCCACTGAGAAAACTTCAAGTCAGGGATCAGGCTGGAACAACAACTGACATAGGCTAGGGGTGGGGACATGTGTTGGCCTGGAGAACTTAGGCACCATTCAAAGAGGGCAGCTAACATTTAGCTAACCCGCCTATTGCTATGACAACAGAAGTCTGGTTGCTGATTTTCTCAAGAGAAACTGGAAATATAGGATTCCATGCAAAAGTCCCCAGTTTTTGCATTTATTTATTTATTTTTTGAGACAGAGTCCCAAAATTAGCCACCATGCCTGGGTAATTTTTTGTATTTTTAATAGAGACGGGATTTTATTGTGTTAGCCAGGATGGTCTCGATTTCCTAAACTTGTGATCCGCCTGCCTCAGCCTCCCAAAGTGCTGGTATTACAGGTATGAGCCACTGCATCCTGCCTCTTTTTTTTTTTTTTTTAGACAGTCTGGCTCTGTTACTAGAGTAATGTGGCACGATCTCAGCTCACAGCAACCTCTGCCTCCAATTTCAAATTATTCTCCTGCCTCAGCCCAGTAAGTAGCTGGGCCTACAGGTGCGTACCAGTACACCCTGCTAATTTTTGTATTTTTAGTAGAGACATGGTTTCACCACATTGACTAGGCTGGTCTCAAACTCCTGACCTCCAGGGATCTACCCGCCTCAGCATCTCAAAGTGCTGGGATTACAGGCATGAGCCACTGCACCTGGACTTGTTTCTGTAGTGTGTATGTACATATGCGCATAAGCATGAGTATCTGCGTGTGATGGTGGAATGTGTGAAAGAGTATGTGTTTGAAAGTTTGTATGAATGTGTTTTAGGTGTAAATACGTTCACCGAATGGAACTCCAGGGGAGCAGAGACTTTGTCTTGTCCTGTTTTGCATCCTCGCCTCTAGCACACTCAAATGAACATGCCCAGCATGGGGGTTGGAGTGGGGAGCATGACTGCAGGGAGAGTAGCCCAGTGGTTACAGCAGGGACTCTGGAGTCAGACAGCATTGGTGCTTCCTAACTGAGGGCAAATCAACCACTAGGAGCCTCAGTTTTTCCATGGGTAAATTGGGTACCTACCTTATAGGGTAGCATCTATAAAGCAGGGCAGTATCTACAGGGAAGTTCAAAGAGCTTGGAATTGTGTATGGAACATAGGACATAAGAAATATTGACTAGTATCGTTCTATCAGCAATGTGGCTCATGCCTGTAGTCCCAGTACTTGGGAGGCAGAGGTGGAAGGATTACTTGAGCCCAGGAGTTTGAGACCAGCCTGGGCGACATAGTGAGACTCTGTCTCATAAATAAATAGGAAACTGGATGTAGTGATGCGTGCCTTCAGTCCCAGCTACTGGGGAGGCTGAAGAGGGAGGACTGCTTGAGCTCAGGAGTTTGAAGCTACAGTGAGCTCTAATGTGAGCACTCTGGCATGGACAAGAGTGACACCCTGCCTCAACGGAACAGAACAAAACAAAAACACCCTGCCAGATGCTTCCAAGGGCTAAAAGCCCTTCAAAACCAGTCCAAAGACCACTCACTAGCAACATCCATTATCCTTCTCTGAGCCTTAGTTTCTTCTTATATGGGAGGGAGCGATGAACCTATTTTGTCTGCTCCCGGGGCAGCTGGGAGGTTATCATCACAGCGCTCCAAATCCCGCCCCTCGAGGGAAGGGTTTGCACTGCCGCAGTCCGAAGCCAAAGCTGGGAGCAGGGTGCCCTCTCCTGGCACAGTGGAGTCCAGGGCAACTCCAGGCTGCAGGGCACAGGCGGACCTCGGAGTCCAGGGTGCTAGGCGCAAAGGAAGGTGTACAGATGGGCAGCGGGCTGCGAGGGTACCTTACGGCTCTCCAGTCTTGCGTGGAGCCGTGGGCTCCCTTTCTGTCGACAGAGCTCCTTTTTAGATTTCACTCCACGGAGGTCTCCTACCCCGCCCCCGCCCCTTCAGACTGGACCGGCCCCCCACCCCTCCCCATTGCATGTCCTTAGTGTTCCTTTTGCTTTTCTATCATCTAAGAAATGAAGGCGAGGGGAAGAACCCCTGGCTGTGTGACTCCTAAGGTCCCCGGACGAGGTTCTTAGCAAATATTAGAATAAAAGGGGCCTGGAAGCTCAGACGAGCCTGGGAAGTGAACCCAGAAGCCATCCAGCTCCAATGGGGGAAGGATCCAGCCTCAGCTGGCGACATCAGAGACCTGGATTCGGGGACTCCCTGGCTTCACCCCGAGGACAGCCGGGACCGTGGGCTGAAGCCAAAGAGCACCACAGCTTGGGCTCCGGGGCAGACATTTGGGAACATTAATACATTCCTAAATGTTGTGTGCAGTCTGTGTGTCAGGCACTGAGCTGGACGCTGGGGACACAGCAGCTGGCAAAGCCAGACGGCTTCTGTCCCTTCTGGAACCAGTGGGACAGGCACATAATCAGGTGATTTCGTTATAATGATTTGGACCACACCATCTCACACCCCCCTTTTGGGGTGCCTCTAAAGCCTGCGGCTTAGAGAGGGCCCGCGGCTAGGGAGGGGCGCTCTCTTGCATTCTTCCAGTCTGGAGGCCTCCTCCTACCGGAGACACCGGGGGAGAGTGGGCCGGCAGCTCCTGGGGCGCCCGACTCACTGCGGAGCCGCCAGGGCTGAGAAGGATTGAGGGAGAGAGGGGAGCCCTGTCCAGGGTCCCTAGGAAGTCCCCACCTCTACACTCTCCCAGCCCAGCGGG